GCGGTTCGCTCAGCTCAAGATGCCCCATATCATATCCACATGATCTTTGCAGACCTTCCATCTTCTCCCGCCCCACGGATCATTGCTCCGTGGCACCACTTCCCACTCGACCTCGGGCCCCAATCGCGCTCGCAGAGCGACGGGTTTTCTACGGGGCTGGTCATCTGCAGGGACGGGTTTTCTCGGTGCCACCGGCAACTGAAGATTCACACATAGTATAGGACCATAGGACCTTCCACAATGAGTGTTAGGTCCATTGGGGATCATCCTGGCACGTCCTGGTGTAGTAGGACCCCAACAAAACCCACCAAAAAAGAGCACCATTTAGACAGGTGCCTTCTAAGATTCTAGTAACAGCACAAAAATGTTTCACAACAAGGAAAGCATATGCTTACGACGTAAGGTTTTTGAGGCCCCCTTTTTTGTGGACAGCTGAGCGGCTGAGCGGGTCTGCGAGCTGGCTCTTCATTTTGGTATACATATTATATCCCCATATCTTATCTACTAGTAACAAGAAGCTATTAGGGGCTCCTGGCCTTACATCGCTACTAGGAGCATTCTTACTATCATGTATATATTTTGTTCTCTAAGTTGACTCGGATTTCGTTTGACTCGGGTGTGTCGAGGTCGAGAGCCATGTCGAGCGTCCCAGCGTCCCTTCTCACAAGTCTTTAGGGCAAGCATCTGTCCCATCCTAAATCCCGCATAAGTAAGCCGATGAAAACGTCTAGTTTGGACCCAGAATTCCTGTCTCCAAAACCTGTTTTTCAACTCTTCATCTCGAAGCTGTCACCCAGCCCTCCTGATATCTTGACCATCTGAGCCACCCAAGGCATACTCCGGATGGGCCACCACGATGTAGTCGGAGCGCGTGCCCCCCTGCCGCGGCCAACGGACTCAGCAGCCCGTCTGCAGGAGGGAATATATATATATATATACCCTGGAAGTCCTAAACCATTTTTTAAATATGGTCTTGAGGTGATTCGAAAAGGAATTTCTTTACTTTGGTGAGTGGTAGTCTTTGGACTTCTAGATTCTAGGTGTATACAGTATATTTATAGTTAGAGGACCAAGCACGGAGCATTCAGGAATCAATGGCTCCCCAAGGGAAACCCTTCGTTTCGTTGGTTGAAAACCTTTGAAAACCATTGGCTAAGCCATTGGAGTTTCCCCCGGTCGCTCCTTGCAACCCATCTCGTTGACTTGCGTGAAGAACAGGCTGTGACCCCCAAAAAAACATGCCTCCGGTGAACTTGTTCACCGCCTCTGGGGAGCTGATGGTGATGTCATGTGAAGGGAAAGGAGGTGAGGACATCCCAAGCAAGGCCTCATAGAGGTTGGTGATGCCTCCTCAGACAGTAGCAGATCGTGAAGTGACAAAACATTGCAAAACAAGGTCCTTCAGGATCTTCACAGCATACAGCCAGAAAAAATAAGAAGCTCAGCTGCTCATGGTTGAACGGGCAACATGATGCAACATGTCTCCCAAGAAGGTGCAGATGGTGTAGAAGATCTTTATATATACTTTATATTGTCCTACCAGTCTAGGACGAAGTTTGGTGCCCACCTGTTGGTCCAAGTTGCTTAGCCCATACATTGTGGGCCCAAGCTCACCATCGCCCGCCGACTCGAGCCGAGGAATAGGAGAAGCGCCACTGCAGAATCCAGGTGAATGTCACATCATATAACTTCGTCCCTCTCCCTGTCGCCCATCACTTGGGCTAAGTCAAGAATGTCAAAAACATCTTACCTTCATCTGCCTTCATCACAGCAGCAGGGCTCCTAAGTCAAGAAAACTCTCTGATTTCAAACATCAACTTGCTTTGGTCCGGTCTGCACATCTCAGCATCCCCTGCAGGAATGATGCTTTCACCCTACCAGAAGCGACACGCGGGGTCAGTGAGGTCGCGATCAATTGGGAGGTCCCAAAATCCACGAAATGGCACTAAATCAAGCCGTTCTGGCTACAGCTGCCAAATGACAAGACTTATCCGATATTGGAACCTCAGCCAACACTTATCCGGTCTAAGATGGTGTGACCCGACTTGGGAAGCACCTCACGCAGACAAAAAGTTTGTGACACTGCCTCTTCAGGCGGGCAGAACGGAACTGCAAGAACCAGATCCCAACTTGCCTGGCAAGACAGGCTGTTGGATGCATGTGAAGATATGTGAAGTAAATTGAATGAACATGGCAAAGCCAAAGCCTAATCCATTCATGGCTCAGAGACCATCGCGGACAATCTATAGAAAACTGCCTCATATGGCTTCCATAAGACTGGTGACTTCAACCAACCTTCTCCCTTCCTGAGCTCACTCCCACCACTTCTCCCACACCTCAGCCCACGCCACTGGCCGCACACACGGCGTCCAAGAACGCCAGGCTGGCCGCACGCACGGAGGGCCTCGCAGAGCCCACCGAGCCGAGCGGTGGCCGTGGAAAAAAGACCCTCTGAAACATGGTGAAGCGTTGTGATGCCTTGGGTTTTCAATGGTTTTTTCATAACCCACCAGTCACAGGGAAGGGACCGTCCCCTCTATTCACCCACATGCGCCCCCTGGAAGAATTCGGAGCGAGGCGGAGGTCATGAAGTGTCATCGGCCTCGTCAAGACCAAAACGCCATGAGGACGTCGATGTACATCGATGCACGACATCACTTCTGGACGTTTACGACGACAAGAGGACTGAAAGGGGGAGAAGTGAACGGGAGCACCCACTATCTCCCGCTGCAGACCGCTGCCAAGCAACTCGCCCAAGCCCTTGTAGTCCAGCACAGCCTGGCGCCAAACACCCAAGCAGTCCATGCCCACCAGTGGTGACTAGCTCAGGTCAAATGACAACCAGACATGATGTTCGAATCATCTACATGTGTCCCACATTTCTAGGCTAGATTGCGGCGTCTCTGTCGAGATGGTTTATCCTGCTCCTCCCAAACCTGGCTTAAACGAAAACATGCACTTCTTGTGCTGTGTGCCGGACCCCGTCAACTCCTGCTTGAATCAAAGATCATCATATATACAAAAAACATATACAAATACCGTATATCTGTAGCATCAATGCTGCATGTGTTTAATTACAATTGTTTAAGTTTAAATACGTTCCGAGAAAAAAGGATAAAAAACTGCAGAATCTACTGGGCCAACAGCCAACCCTGTCCATCTTCGCATCCATCCGCTGTCTCCCCGCTCCTCGGGCAGACGCCGGATCTCTCCGGCCAAGGCACGGCAGGCCAAGGGCGTACGCCCCAAAGCCTGCGCGGTTGCACGGTCGAAATGGCCTTCTTGGGGGCCGAAAGGAGGAAATAAAACGAGAAAACCCGAGATCCCTCAACAGCAATGCTAATGGCGGAGTTTTCCAGCAACACCTGCCAAGCAAAGGGAGGCCTAATCTGCAATGCTGCCAACGTGTTGCTTCATCAAGAGTGGCAAAGGAACCAAACTCCCCAACCATGCGGAAGAACCAGGCATCGCATCTGTTTCAGATCCCGTTTCGTGGCGAGCGACCAAACCTCAATCACCTCCCCCAGCCGTGGTGTCCGGCAGTCTTTCACCCGTCTGAGAGATGCACCGGCAAAGGATCCATGTAGGGACGAATGGTGAAGACCAAATACCTTGGGCCAGGTGAGGCCCGGCCGTCAACGCGCGGACGTCCACGTCCGGAATTCGCATCCGATGTTCCGTCTCCAAGGGGCTCCGGGTGCCGTGGTAAACGGCGCAGGGTCTCGTACTCCACCTGCCCAATGGTGAGGTGCAATTGCTTCAGGTTCATGCATGTCCCTAGCCCTAGCCGCTAGCCATCCACCGTGCCCATCAAGAAAAAACCGGGAGTAGACCTGACTGAGTCCTGCTTCAGGATTCAGAGGCACTAAGCTCAGGAGGTCCCTGTTCGTAAGCCATGTCCAAAAATGCTGACGAAGCGCTTAGAATCGCTTGGAGGACCTGCCCAGGTACTTCGAGGGCATTCCGGGAATCTCGCCTTGAGATAGAGCCTGGAGACGATGGCCTCTGGCCTCATGTCCAAGTCCTCCGCCTCAACAGACTTTGGGAGACAGGAGATGGTGGACAAGTCTTGCAGCACTCGCGCAAAATGAGAAGCCCATTCCGATTCCTACCCGGCCCTGGACAGTGGATTTGCCGTCGTGCATTGTCTCCGGTTCTGTTGGATTTTGGCAATCATCGCTATTCTCGTGTTTCTGGCTGGCTCACAAATCAAAGCCCTGCTTTAATGCGCACTCTTTCAGGTGCTCTTTCCTGTAACGGCCCGCTCATTGTGTCTCTGTTGAGGCCCTCAATTGTGTTGAAGAATAGTCATACATTGCCCATCATTGGGCTAAAGTCTGAAATATACACTGAACTACACCATTACACGTCACGTGGCTGAGACAATTCAAGCCCATTAACACCACTCACCACTCGTTCACAAATTCCTTTCACTTCGGCCAGCCCCCCCCACGTGACACCTCCTCGCGCCATTCGGCCATCGCAAAATTGGCGCGCCAGACCTGGCCAAAGAAGGTCTGGTTCCTGGAGGTGGTCCTCCTAAGACCCCTGTGGAAGAAGGAAACAGACCGAAGCACATTGGTTGGGCGGGGGTCTTGCTAGTGTACACCGAAGTGGTTCGAGCACGCGGCACTTGCCTTCACGTCCACCCTCGAAGTCGGTAGATGAAACGCCGGCGCGGTGGCTGGTAATGTGAGGCAAAAACGCGCCAGAGCGGCTGGCTTGCGAAGCGTGCGGAAGACTTGACCTGTCGTGGCAGGTGCGAAGCAAAGAAGTGAAGGAAGTCAAGGTTTTCCTGGGAGCTGGTATCCAATTTATATTGTTAAAGCGTGCTAGTTGGAAGGAGTTGGAACAATCCACCATGTGTCCGCTGTGAAGTCTGTATCGCTACTTACTGTAGCTACTTCCAGGTGGCAATCACCTAAGTTGGCACATGTGGGCATCCCCTTGTTGGTCAGCACCTGCTAGGTCGTGTGCACATTGAAATCCAACGGCTTGGGGATTCACACCGGTGCTGATCCATTCAGCGAGCTTCGGCCCGCCTCGACTCCGCGTCCGTTCCCGGCGACCCCGCGCACTTTTTCCCTCGGAACGCATCTACCCCTCGGCGTCCGGATCACCCACGTCCTCTGGCTCCCCATCCTGGGCTTTGCGGTTCACCGACTTTAAGAGGGCCCAGTGACCGAACGTCCCAGGGGATGAAGAGGTCGCGGAGGAAGCACCAGGAGCGAATGACTGCATCACTTGGGGGATAGGTCCGGGAGCGACCGGAGTCCACCCATCTACAGCGACCGACATCGGTGTCAAGCTCCGACCGGTCAACCTGTTGGGCTCCTGGTGCCAGGAGCCCACCACATCGGATATTCATCTCCTCACTTGCAGGGCTACACTAGCTGCCTCCAACCTTTGAGGGTCAATTTTCCACAGGTTAGGGCCGGGGTGGGGCCCAGTTAAAGGGCCTTCCAGGAACGATCCAAGGACAACTACTGTAGCAGCTAGGGCACCTGTTCCCTCTCACATTCCGCCGAATGTGGTGCATCTCGCTCCGCATCCACCGCAGACAGCAAGCAGGCCGAGATCAGCGAGTCTGACCGTTCCACCTCGAGTTTGCCGCTTTTTTCGGTGCGGCGCAGCGGTCGCCGGAGGCCAACGGGTGGAGGTGGATCTGGGGGGGTCGCATGGAGATCATGGGGTCGTTGCTTTCCCTTTTCAACGGCGTGTGGGGGGGGGGCACAGGCTCAACGCCGCCGAAGTTTGAAGGGGGTCCAGGGGCTCGCTGGTCACTGGTCTCAGGTGGTCTGCGTGTGACGGAAAAATGTGGTGGTCATTTACCATGGGAAAGCCAAGTACACAACGCAGCAGAGCACGCACCACACCAAGAATCCAACACACACGTGACAGTGGTGATTAGATATTTCTTGCACAAAAAAACGCACACGGGCCTTCATCAAGCAGCGGCCGCCCTGACGCCTCTTCATGACTTCAACCTCCGACACTTGCAGTCGCAAGATGGATCCACCTCGCGACTGCCGGCTTGACATCTCCGTCAGGTAAACACGGCTTATGATATATAGTACGTATATATATATATACAATCAGAATGATAATAGTAATAACAATATTTATAATCACAACAATAATAATACAATATAACACAGTATAACAATGCAATTCAATACGTACAAGAAACATATATATATATATTCAATATGCATACCTACATATTATATACATAATTATATATATCTCACACGCACACATACACACACACTCTCTCTCTCTCTTGCGGTATATATAAACGCGTCCGAAATTAAAAACAAAAAACAAAACAAACCACGCATCATCCCCGGCTACCAGCTCCCTTTTTTCGAGATGAAGGATCCAATCCGCCAAATGTCCAAAGCCAAACCCCACATCTGCCTTGCTTCACAGTGATTTGCCCGGCGAAACGAGACGGAACTTGCCTGAGGTGCACAGCAGCAGCTGACCGATCTTCTCCTCAAGTTCCTCCTCCAAGATCTTCCGCGCCTTTAGCGCCTCTTGGTATGCCAACCTGAGGCGCGCTGCTTGGCATTGGTTAGTTGAACAGGAGCCACGACGGACTCCACCAAAGTGGGAAAAGCACTCATCCAATGAAGAATCTCGGAGAACTTCAAGGTGAAAGCTTTCCAAGCCCTTCCTCTACCGACGACAGTTTCAGGGGATGCGCTTGCGGAGCATCCCCAAAACTCTGCAGGTGATCCAAACATCCCATGTTGCCGTCACGACGGCACAATCAACATCCAAAGCATTAAGAACCTACAGCTTCAGTATTTCTGCCGGATCAAAGGAAAACAATTGTGCCAACTCCTTGGTGTTACCTAAGACCTAAGTTCAGTGGCTTCATGTCACATCAGCTCGTTTCACGACGGACGGTGGTCTTCCAAAACCCTGCACGACTAGAGCATCCAAATAATCTATCTTCATCATCCACCTTCTCCCAACCATCCAGTCAATCAATCTTGCTTCGCAGCTTCAGCCTTGTGGTGGCTTCAGCTTCAGCCTATCCCAACACATGCACCCCTCTCCGGCTCCCCATGCTCTGAGCGGCTCCTCGGCTGCATGTTCTTGGTGGTAGGTCTCCTGCTCAGCCGCGCTCAGCGACTCGAACCCCACCGCGTGGGCCGCCTCGGGCGGGGAACCCGCCGCGTGGGCCGCCGCGTCCTGGACCAACGGGGTGGGACCAACGGCCATCAAGACGCGTCAGAGAGACTGATGTGGGGGCTCCGGTTCAGGGCTGCTAGAAGGGTTGCTAGATAAAAGGGTTCAAGATGTCTCAAGCCGAGAAGAGGGGGTGGACCTACGTACAACTTTGGCAACTATGGTTGCTGGTCACCAGAACTAGGTGTCCTGATCCCAAGAGCCAAAAATCACGGATTCACAGTGAATCGCACGTGAAGGGAGATCGGAAGCGTTCCCCATGGCGTCTCTCCTGGTAGATCTCCGCTGGGGAGCGGGGCTTGCGAGGCATCCGCGGTAGCATCTGGGATCCGGTGATGCACATGGCACACACCTGATCACCACCAGACAGCTTGATGGCCTGAGGCAGTGGGCAGGGACTCCAGGAATGGCAGAGTGTGCCCCGGGCGGGTGGAACAGTTCCAGTTGCAGTTCCAGTTCCACGTCGTCCAACACAGGAGACTGGGGAGGGGGGAGGGGAGTTTCAGTTCCAGTTCCAGTTCCAGTTCCACGTCGTCCAACACGGGAGGCACGTCGTCCAACACGGGAGACTGGGGAGGGGGGAGGGAAGTTTCAGTTCCAGTTCCAGTTCCACGGAGACTGGGGAGGGGGAGGGAAGTTTCAGTTCCAGTTCCAGTTCCAGTTCCACGTCGTCCAACACGGGAGACTGGGGAGGGGGGAGGGGAGTTTCAATTCCAGTCCCAGTTCCAGTTTCACGTCGTCCAACACGGGAGACTGGGGAGGGGGGAGGGGAGTTTCAGTTCCAGTTCCAGTTCCACGTCGTCCAACGCAGGAGACTGGGGAGGGGGGAGGGGAGTTCCAGTTTCAGTTCCAGTTCTGGGCCCGGGTCTGGACGTGATTGCCAACGTCAGTTTAGCGTCAATTTTTTTTCCGGGGGGGGGGGGGGGGGGTTCCAGTTCCAGTTCGAGTTCCAGCGAGGTACAGTTCCACATGGTCCAACCCAGTTC